CCCCTTCTCACATAATAGCTTTCTTGTTCAATACTGCCCTCTATATGCAAACTTTTTTCACATATCACTAGCCTTGAAACATCCACCTACCCCATGGATCAAGCTGGATCCACGCAAGATCAATGTCCAGGACCCACCACATGGAGATGAAACACAGTGGAGACAGTGCAATGGTTGACAACAAAATCCCTGTTTTGAAAAGCAGGCTGCCCCTAATTTATTCAGTCAAAAGAATGGCAGGGATGAGCAGCAATCCCCATCTGCTTTACCCATGAAAATTCATGGGTTAGTAGAGTCTGGAACAGGCATTTTGTTGAAGCAAAACACTATGAGGAAATCCTACTAGCAGTCTCGTGGAACACCCCATTTCAACAGTGAGAGTTATTGGCCATGGGTATACATCAAGATTGATGGGATCAGCATCTACTTGAAGACAGCTTTCACATGATGTCCTATACAACCCTTGCCACACTACTCCATACAACATTATACTCTCAGGCCCAACCCCACTCAGGTAAAGTGCCTGGAATAGCAGGGTGAAACCCGTAGAAAATCATCACCTGGATAGAAGCTGGAGCATGTGGATTCTTCACATGATGCAAAAAAAAAAGACTCTGATGGAGGCACGGAAAGGTCCGTCTGCACTCCCACTGTAGCAGTGGCATGTATTCGAGATGGAGTAGAGGACAATAACTTCCGAGCCTCAGGGGAAGAAATGTTAATAATTTTTAAAAGTTGTACCTCTTTCTTCTCCACCCATTTAAGGCAAGAATGATAGTAAGAGGGGTGTGTGAACCACTACAATTAACGTAGTGTGGGTCCAGTTTGCACTCATAGGCATCTTTGCCACCACAATGAGCACATGTTACAGAACCACGACAAGATGCCTTCAAATGACCGAACCGCTGACACTGGAAACATCTGTGAGGGTTGGGAATATATGGCTGTACCTTACAGTTCAGATATCCTGCCTTGACAGAGGCAGGTGGATGTTGCGGTGTAAATGTCAAAATAAGAACATTGGTAGGCAGCATAATTCCTTCCTTACAAGTAGAGATACATTGAACTGCAGAAACTCCTTGGCTGGAGAAACCAGCGAGGATTTTTGACTCAGAGATGTTCTTCAAATTCCTCTCATCAATAACTCCTTGTGAGGAATTCAAAGTAGCATGTGGAGTAACCTCAATGGGTATATCCCCAATGGCCTTTGAGCTCATTGTGTTTTAGTGTAGATGTTCCCACCAAGATGTCTCCAGAATGTAGCTTCTTAACTGACTTTGGAGAGCCAGCAAGCCCCCTCTAATTCCTTCTGAATACAAAAGGAAGATATCTGCCCTAAAGGTTTGTCTGACAAGGAATGTAAGATTAAAAAATGAGGTATAGGTTCAGAATGGGTTGAAGATTGTTGGTCAGAGTCTTCATGACATGCTCATTTACCAATTAGCTGTTTTTTTAGTATTTTATTTTTCTGAGGATTTGAGGGATCCATAATGAAAAGAGAAAGATTCAGTGCCAACTGACCCCACCCACCATGGGGTTCTATGAGGGGACACACTACAATGCCAAACAAGGTCACTGCAGCAACACCAGGTTTCGTGAGCACTATACCCAAACAACAGCATTAGACACAATGTTCACAACACCTGTTGAGAATGCCCAACACTGGTACTCAGTTGACCCTAGCCCAACAGGACCACCGACTGACCCTGGGGGGGCCACCTGTCAACAGGAATTCAAGGCCAAAGTGGTATGTTGCAGTGCCCCAGACACCACTCAACCACCAAGGTCCTCTCCTCCACTTCACAGGTCACCACACATGGGTGGATATTCAGATCCCAGAGGAGGTAAACTGAAAATACACAACTTTTCCTGGGAGGTTCCCTCACCATATACAAGAATCCACCTCGGGGGTCATGATGAAGACATTCCAGTCAAGTCACCAGACACTGTGTCTATGGATTTCAGAGACTCTGGGATGTTGAAGCAGGCTTAGGGAGACTGTCAACCTTGTACACTATTTGAAGTATACAAAGCACACAGGGAGAAATTTGTGCTTTGGATAGGACAGCCATACAAGAGTTTTTTTACAATAAAACTATACTACAGTGCTGTTGAAAAGATGCAAGGTCCATCAGATAGAAAATGATGATATTGACTATAACAATGCAGTGAGGCTTCAAAATTGTTTTTATATAATATACTCAATCTCTATAGAAGCGTATCAATAAGTGTAATCTCACGAACATTATCTTAATTGAACTGCAAAATACAATGTGCATTTGTGCAATATCTGTAGAATGAGTAAAAATGTAACTCTTTCACTACCAGATTTATGAATAAGTAAAGGTGCTAAAGTTATTAAATGAAAACCTTTAGTATTTCATTATTTATCTGAAATTTGAAACTGGCAAACTCTGGGAAGTCTAAGGGGCAGTATGCTTTCTTCATAGTGGACAGAATTCCAAGCTTAATGGCAGTACTCTAAAGGAGGACATATATGTACTCATAGCAGTGACTTTAAAATAACCAAATAGGAATATTGTCTTTATATTAGAAAACTATTACATATTAAAGTATGTATAATTCTCTTATTATACTCTTTTTTTTTTTAGTCATAACTTACTCTTGAAGAGTCGGTTTGGATATGATATCAGGGGATGTGGTGGTGGTCATGGAATTGTCTGTATAATTTTTCTCCCAATCATAGGGATCACTGTTTCTCACGCCTCTACGTTTCATGGATCTTTCAAAGAGCCCAGCCAGCATGGTATAATCTGGACGTTGGTAATAGTCCAGGTTCACTATGTGGTCCAGAAACTGGCAAAAATCTGATGGCAAGTGTTTTAGAAGTAATCTATGGTCATATTTTTCTTTCATCACGCCAACCTGAAAGAGAGATACAAACTGAAGATGAAAGATTTTGTAATTCTTTCAAAATACTGTTATAAAAGAGAATATATAAGTACAGTTTTATCATTTATCCCACCTTAATCACCTTAGGAAATATAAATTCTAGCAGAGTAGGAGTCATCTTCAGCTAAGACAGTTTCATTTTTCTAACAGGATGGTTGGCCTTTGGAATGGGTTGCCTTTGGATGTTGTAGAGGCAGAAAATTTAAATGAGTTTAAGTAAAAGCTTGATAACTATATCAATGATAAGGACTGGCTTAAAATTTTTTTCTTTATTTATTTTTATTTAGTTAAGAGGATGGAACAGCCAAGATGGACCAATAGGTCCCATGTTGTCCCAAAACGTTATGTATTTACTATGCAGGAGTCTAGAGTCAAGTCAGATACATTTATACATTTCAGTGTGAATTTCTCTAGTTGCATTATATAACCTAATATCACTAAAGAAATGAAGTTTTCTAACTTACCTCCTCCTTATCTTTAATTTTTCTCCAAGGTAGTTGTCCATTCACAAATTCAACTAGCATATAAAATAATGACCACAAATCATCATGACGACCCATTTCCTGTCAAAGGAAAGACCTAACAGTATTAACAGAGAAGAAAAGAAACTACAGTAAAAATAATTAAAATTCAAACATCTAAAACTAAATGGGGTTTTAGAGTATTTACAAGATTCAGGAGTTCTCAACCATAAGTTGTAATTTTGACTAAGTTAAAATAACACAAATACAACATCAACACTTGTGTGTAATCTTTTAACATACAATCATGTTTAGTGATATTTGTGATTCTTGAAGCATGTCACAATAGACTTGTTGAAATAAAAGTCTGAAGATTACCCAGATGTTACTTAAGTATATATGTAAACATATTACATCATTAACCTGACTTAGATTGTTATTATATTATATTTAAAACTAGCTGGAGTACCTATCCCCTGGACATAAGTTATGTAAAATCATGACTGATGAAAGGTTATCTTAGAACAGGTAAATAAAAACTGCAAAACACAAAATGTGAAACTGCATGTTTACACTTATCTCTGCATGGACCCAACAAACATTCAAGCTAAATATTGTGAAGATCCACCAATAGGGGGTGAAGTAGTGGTGAAAAATGCAAAAATGGGCATAAAAACCAGAAAACACAACACTGAAATTTTTTATGTACTCCTCATAGATCCATTGAACCTCCATACCAATTTTGGTGAAGATCCATCCACACCCTGTGAAGTAGTTACATGGACAGACAATACTATTATATTAATATAGACATTACATGAAATAAAACAGAACAAAACAAAAGTATCAAGAAAACCTTAAAAACTTTCAGTAAACAAAATTTACTCATAAAAGAGAAGTAAAATGAATATAAGATAAGAAAAAGCAAGTGCAATAAAAAAAAAGACTCTTTATAGAATCAGGAAAATGCAATGTAAAAGAAAAAGAAATTCTTATATGGAAATGAGACAAAAATAAGTTTCAAAAATATAAAACATCAATTTCTTACTTTGTTTTTATGTGCATTGATAGAAGCATATCGAACAGTTCCTCTGAAGCCAGCTGCTACTCGAGGAGCACGCACCTCCCCAGATGCTGTTACATATTGTCTAGCCAATCCAAAATCTAACATGTAGACTTTTCGACAGGTCTGAGTTTGATGTCCCATTGCAAAGTTAGACTGTTGAATTGAATATACTTTAAATATTTGACTTACTTAAAACTACATACAAATAGCATGAAGAAAAAAGTAAAATTGGCCAACTCACAAGAGTTAAATAGATTGTTAACCCACGTTCTGAAAATATTGGACATTTAAGGTTACCTTTTCAGTTCAATGCTTGCTACTATCAGAAGTAATATTGTGAAATGTCATTTATTGTGAAACTATTTTTGGAATAAATATTTTATATTTCATAAATATATATAATGATAAGTGAAAATTACTACTTGAACTAGTTCCAAGCAAATTAAGAAGACAATTTGTTTAAATCATATTGCATTATAAGCACCAGTGATCACAACATAAGATACTACATTCCAGAAACTACTGAAAATCTGTTTTTTTACAAATATAAAAGTGCCATTGTTGTCTGAAAACTTAAATTTTAAGACTATAAAAATAGTTAGAAAAAGTAACACATAAGTTTCATCCTAATTTTTGCACATATAATGACAATCCAAATACATACTCAGAAAAACAAAGCAATATCAATGCTGAAACATCTGAAGTACGTACAGGTTTAATATCTCTGTGAAGAAATCCAACTTCATGAATACTTTCCATGGCTCTTAAAATTTGCACACCCAAACGAAGGGTGGTACTCAAACTGAAAGCTCCACGAGGCTGACTCCGTCTAAGTTCTGCCAAGTTTTTTCCTTGAAGCTGCATCACCACATAGTTGAAACGATCATTACGTCCACAACCAATGAATCTGCACACGTGATCTTTGCCTGTCATGTAAACCAACAATTAAGTATTTGAACTATCTAAACAATAGTATGTGTCCATTAGTTCAAAATGTGCATTCCTAATAACCATATTTACTAATATCAAAAGAAGTAAATTTAAGGTAATGGTTCACTTCTATAAGTATATTCAAATATTTTAGTTGTTCTGTAGTAAATTTCTGCTTTTTTGTTTTAAATGACATTTCTATAATTACCCTTTTAAAGTATATAATCCAGACTTTCATCTACATGAACACCAACACTATATAAATTTGCATTAATACTTTCATAACACATACTATCCACTGGCACATACAGAACCTGTAATTTGAAAAAAGTAATTTAACTATCATGCTGATTTTGTTCTTTATATGGTTGAGCACAGGTTCTGATTTTCACATACTGAATTAAAGTACTGACAACTGAGTGCAAACATTACAATAAATTTTAGTGTGAGAGTCATCTATTGAAGGACACATATGATGATGGAGATGAACCATCTAACACATTCAACTCACGAGTAGATGGTGGGGGGGGGGGGGGTCAGTTCCATATTTCAACAACAATTATCATTTGCAATAGCTTTGGTAAAATAGTTGGTCATAATGAAATTGGAGAGAAATAAAATTGAAATTATTAATAAATAACAGTAGCAGTAAAATGTAAATAGGTTATTCATATCAGATCACAATGCCAGTTGTTTTGGCCTGCTTGTTCCATGTGTTGCCTGTATATGCATATACACTCTCTTAAACAAGGTTAAAAACTACTTTTAGTGTTTGAACTATTGTAAAATTTAACATTAAAACATATAACTGTAACACAATCATGCTTTGCAGTTAAATTTCTTTTGCACAATACAGTGACCTAAAATAACTAAGGTTTAGATTTTTTCAACTTCATCCCCGATACTACATCTTGTTGTTACATACCTTTCTATGTATGAAACCTACATTAAGATATTGGTAATTCTGATACATTACAAGTTTAGTATGTACAGAGATTCAGAGAATGTAAAGTATTTTTAGCGCTGCTGGTTTGAAATAGCAATTTATTTTTGGCTCAGCTGATTCAAAAGTAATTTTCACAAGGGAAGTAGGTCAAATACTATTTTAATCAGAACAAATAGAATATACATTGAACCTTTGAAGAATATCCTACATAAAACGCTAGCCATTTAAAGCCCTTAAAACCCTCAGGGTCAAAAACTTCCCATTTTAGATAGTGAAATAGGTCAAGGTAGATGGATAAAATGTATACGTAAATTGAATGCCAACATATTCTTATGACACTGCTGTTCTTTCCGAGTTAAAGCTTAGTTAGTCTTCAAACACTACAGAGTTAGGCTTCTTTTATCTACATATTTTTTAATTTTTATACAAGCCATGTGTCTCTTTGTCTCAGGATATTGGATCTAGGCCAAAATGCATCAGTATACTAGTAGAAACTTAATCTAACCTCTTACTTTAAAACTTTTGTTCCAGACTGTCTCTCATCTAAATTTCCTGGTTTACAATGAAATAAAAGATTCTATACACTTTACAGTGAGAATTTCAAGCACTTCAAGGCATTTTTGGCATTTACAATTTAACTTTCATAAAAGCATAGAGTTGTTCTTCCAACATTTTAAATAAAATATTGTTTTATATCAACTGGAGAGAATATTTGATTGAATTTACAAAATTTTATCTTTTTTAGAGTACTGTACAGCATGTCTTTCTCCATAATATAATTTCTAAACACTTTTCTGCTTGCATGTTTTTTAAGATGATCAGGTATTTTTTGTTTTGAATTTTATTTATTTGCAAAATATTGGGTTTACCAAGTAACCTTATTTAAAAAAATACATAGCTAAGGAATTTCACTGTATGTAGGTAAAGAGGGTGGACTGTTATAGGATGAAAGGCACTTGTATTTTGATGTGGAGCTAAAGATGGTTCTACAGAACTTCTTAAAAAGGAGTATGGGACTAACAAGTCCCATCCTTCAGCAAATGGGGGCTTGCTAAGCAAAAACTATGATGAATCCATGCTTTGGGCAGACATAAATGCAAGAAAATAACATATTACAAAAGACAGTTTTGAAAAATTTAATTTCTGGAAATCCTCACATGGTAGGCAGATGGCTTAGTAAAAGAGCAATAATGTGGGTTGGCTAAGGATTATTTTGGAGAGGACAAAGAACAGGGATCTTTAAAGTGACTATTCATGTTTCTGTTGCCTATCATCAAAAAATATGGAAGTATTATAGTGACCTGACTTTGTGTAAGATGTGAACACTAAACAATCCAATGCACTCTACACACAAAACAATAAGTCATTCTTCAATGATAATGAATAACACAAAATTGATGTATTTCCTAACAAAGGTTTCATAAGCTGTATCATATCACCTTATCAATATTTGTTAAGTTATACAGCTAAAATGGAAGCCTTCAATAATACTTGAAACTGATATCAATATAAGTATTTGACATAATCTGAAGAATACCCGACATTAAATTGTGTACACAAATTATTTTTTTGGTGATGGTGTCTAATTTATAAAATAAGTTGCAAACAAAAATATATCCCTTTTAATAGACCCATCATTTTATTTTCTTTAATGAACAGATATTTCATATCAAACAATTTTTGTATAATTCAGTACAAAATATTTAGTGTGCTTTGATAAGTGTTCATTTATTTAAAGAACAAATTCCAACAGCTTGCTGTTTTGTGGAGTACTCTGAGTCAATATGATGAAGTTCTTTACATGTAACCAGAATATACTCAACTCTATATGACTGTAACCGTAGTACATTAATTTATTTGTGCACCTCATGGCCTTAAACATTTTTAAATGTTCATGAATGAGTAATATTGTTACTATTTAACTACAGTCAGTTGACAAACTATGGCTTGCATGCATTTTAGTTTGATAATTTTAATTTGTCACAGCTTTTTAGAATTTAACCTATAGTGACATATTCAAATTTTAGAGGTGAAAAATATTATTTTTTTTTACTGGTGGTATATCATTTCTAATAAAATAGAATTTGATTGAATTAAATATAAGAATTACAAATCAAAACCTCATTTCAATGTAAATTTCATGAAGTTAAAAAAGTGCCTTAGAACAGATAGCATGCCTGTGAAATACTGCCATGTTAGAAATTCAATGCAGTATTAATAGTAAAAAGAATTTACAAACTGTGTTAAATGTGTTCTTTAAAGAATCATATTCTGCTCCTTTACTGAAACTACACAATTAATTTGGCTCCTCTGCTAATTCCTATAGTACAAGAGAAATATTCTACAAAAAATCCTCTCTCTGTCTCATTGTATAATACAGGCAAACACAAAGCAAAACCTAAACTCTCAGCTTACACTTGAAAAGCTGTCTTTGTGCCAAAACAACAAGTACTACAGAAACTCTGGTTTCTTTATCTGGCAGTATCTCAACAGCCTTGAGGCTGACCTACAGCATGAACAGTTACACTAATGTGGGCTGAAGAGGGCTACATAAATACATCAAAGCTGTTCGTCACACTTATAGTTTTAGTAAAGTACATGGATGGATAACAGACACTAAAATATTCTTATACTGTAAACTAAGAAGTTGGATTTTAGCCAAGTTATAATGGCTACATGGTCATATCAGAAAGATCAAGTGCACATATAAAAAATCATGAAGCAGACAGGAAGTAAAAACTTTATTTTTAAAACAGGCAAGCTGTAGAATATTATTAGTGAAAGTAATTCAACATTATATAAGATTACCAATGAATTGGTCTTAAAATTACAAAATCTTCTCAGGAGACTCATTAAGTTTCAGAATCTATAAGAACATGTGTTTTAATAAAATATATGGTAATAACTTTTGCAGCTTAGGCTACTTGTAGAAAAAGGGTTAAAACTCAGTTATAGGTGACTCTTACCAATCAAGGACTCTTTCTATGCATGCATATCTTTCACTTTGTAATTAAAACTAAAACCCACATTTTTAAACTTTTACAGTACATATATGCATAAGTTAGTAAATTTATATGTATATACATTTGTATACACACACATAATACTTATGCAGCATTAGCTTTTACTTTTAAAAATTGGTGGGGGGCATTTCCTTTCACTTATGATTCTGTTTCATATATTGTGAATGTTCGTGACAGTGAGCAAACTCTTTAATCAAGCTTCAAGATAACTCTCCTTCTCATTCATATTACCTTCTGAAAACTTAGGTGTATTTTGGTGTTATTAACCAAAAGGGGCAAACTATTGTTATTTGCTAAATTGAGTATTCTGGAATTCATCTGTTAATTAGCACATATTGTATGACACAATAATAATGCCAGTTTATTCAGTAACCATAATATAATCTAACTTTACTTGAAATACGCTTGTTTCTAATACTACAAATTTCTTAGTTTATAAAGATAAAATGATACACTCTTACAGTACTCTCGTATTATATGAGGTTAACTTAGACATCATGAATCCATATTAAACTTACTTAATGCTCAGGAAGTATGTTGATATCATCAAAATCATGTGAAAAATTGATTATATACCACCTTGGACACTATTCATGTCATCAAACACATCTCTGTTTATAATACCAAATAAGCAATAATTGCATTTCACCTTGTATATCTTGTGAACTGAGAAAGTTAGTTGATAATACTGAAACAAAATGACACAATTGTATTTCACTTTGCACGTGTTGTGAGCTAGATACATGAAGAGTTTTACAAGGGTTATGTTAATTTGCATAATGTATTTGAATGCAGATTCAAACGTCCAATTTATTTTTACAATCATGTTTAACTTTTACAGTGTTAAAGTTAACAGTAACATACATAGTAATACATGAATAAGGATCAACTCTAAAAGAGGTGTTTCAGCATAAAAACAAACTGAGGTATGTCACATGTTCAGGAACACTACTAAGAAACGCTAGAATTAGAATGTAGAAAATTAAGAAACAAATATAATCACAATTTAAAAATGACTCTCAAGAGT